ACTCTTCAACCTAGATCGGAGCTTTAATTTTGGTAAAATACTTCCTAGGCCTCTCCTCTAGAGTAGTAAATAAAAAATTGTGATCTCATCTGGTACTTCAAAATATTTGTGGAAAGTGGAATTAAAGCATTCATTTGTCGTGGCGTTAAAAAAAAAAAGGAAATCCACAGGTTTTTCCCCTAATAGGCATTCTCCACGAATTTTTGAAGATGCCTACACGTGCGTAACTTGCGAACATTTTTTTGCCCTGAAATACACTTACCTTTGAATTCTGTTTCCCCCAAGTGTTTTGAAGTGCCTTCCTATTTCTTGTTTATTTATTTACTAATTATGGTGGGGGCTTAGATGAAGACTTATTGATGTAACAAATAGAAAATTCAATTTCTCTGTAGATTCGTAAACAAAGGAGTCGAGAATGTTTGGGAAACACTAACAGCCAAACTAACTCCCTCTCCAGTTCAAGTCACCCAGGGGCGACTCCTTCCTGAAGAGCCCTTCTTGGGTCTCCAAGTCCCCTATAACCCTTTGCTGGAGACGTGCACCCCCGCTCCGTCCCCGCACTGTCCCGCTTCAGGCTGGCGCCTGCCACATTAGCATTCTGCTTCATCAATGATTTGCCTTCATAAATACCGGGCTCTGAATCCCACCACTGTTTGGGCCAGAGTCTAAATTTCTCTCATCACTCTCTTTGGAGGAAAAGAAAGAAAATGAAACACACACACATACACACACACACACATATTTTCTAAACAACTTTCTTACTCAGCCTCCATGCACTGGTAACTGCCAGTCCAGTGGATAAAAGTTTGGCTCAGTGGGAATCATCTTCCCTCACAGGGACTTTTGATCAAGTTCCTGGAAGACAACAATTTTATTTTTTATTCACAACGGTCAGCAGCACTAATAATTCTTAGTAGCCGACACGCACACACAAACACAAAAGATCCGCCAGCCTTACTGGGTGGTTCCCTTGGCAAATTCTAAAAGGCAAACATGCTAACGTGGCCTGCCTCCGTTCCCTCCCCCCACGTAATCTGTCCTATTCATGCAATCGCTCCTTTCAGGAGCTCGGAAAAAAAAAAGTTAACTAAGCAAAAAAGAACTCGGAAAGTTTCAGCAAATTGGACCAAACCATTTAGCCATTTGGCTAAACACTGGTTCTATTTGTACTACAACGAAAGGTGTGGAATAGGTTATGCATCACGTAGTTCACAGCTCTCATCCACATAGCGTCCGTGGATAGAAGCCACTAATTGGAGGGCTGCCGTGGTCCCCGCTCTCCTAACACACATGCCCACATATACACCCTAAAATATTGCATTGAAGTCTGAAAAAAAAAAGGCCTCTGAAAGTAATCTTCTTCATTCTTAGCCACAGACAGCTACTTTGAAAGGGAGCCTCACTACCTCAATAAGAAACAGCAGAGACCTGCGTTCCCACTGATGCTCCCTGCTTGGGAATCTCCAAATATTCCCAAGAAGAGCCAGCTCCACGAGCCCACCTCACTACTGTCCCTTCTAGTGGCGAGTCACCAAGGAAGACCCGTCCCCAGGCAGGGCTGTCAGACCTACCAATTAAAAATACGGGGCACTCACTTAATTTCAGTTCATCAATAAATAACACTTGAGTCCCAGTTTGTCCCCCAGGCACAATCTGGGGCAAAAATATGCTTCCCTGGACACAGCAGCTGGAGGGTGGCTGATTCCGGGCGTCCTACTCCCTCCTTTGCAATTTCAAGTCACAGAGGGCGCACGGGCAACAAGATCAGAGCTGTCCAGCTTCCCAGTGAGCCTAACCTTCTGAGGGAGGCGTCTCAAAGGGACAGGGAGGCAGGTGAGGCTGACCGGAAGCTGTCACCCGCCACGAACCAGAGCTAACACCTTGTCTAACCCTCACCACCCAATAGGGCCAGACCTCGACTATCCCCGTTTCACAGATGAGAAAACTGAGGCATGGTTTCCAGAGCCGTGCGTCTACAGGACAGAGTTTTCCATCCCCACAAACTGGCTTAAAATCAACAATGAGGGCAAATAATCACATAGACTTAAACTGTGCGCAGATGACCTGAAGGGGCCGCCTGGTTTGTGGTCGGGCCAGGGGGAGTCCAATGCTGGAAACGCAGCACACAGCGCAGTGGGAGGAACACACGGGAGGAGACTGTGTCCCCACGCCCCAACCGTCCCTGCACCTCACCCATTTCTTCCCATTGGATCACAGAGCAATGGAAAGTGTGGCGACTGCAAGTCCACGGGAGGAACTCTGGCAAAAAAAAACTTTTCTAATTTAAGGACCACCCAGGTGTGTGCTGGTCTGTCCCCATTTGAGGGTCTTTGCCTCTTGCTTTCCAGCCAGAAAAGAAACAGATGTGACCCCCATTCATCGCCTAATGGAGACAGAAGGGGAGGGGGGAGGCCTGGGCGCTGGAGGTGGGCGGGGGGAGCTGCATATTCCCTCTTGAAGAAAGGGGACATTAACTTGCACAAGGTTTCAGCCTGTGGCTGTCACCTGTCGACGCACAGTGCGGCACACAGTAGGTCACCAATGCAAACATGCTCCATGGCGTGAAAATCAAATAATGTGCTGGACGGTGTTGGTGACACCCAGGGAGTGGGTTTGGGACTGGTCTGGCTTTGGGAGGTGAGAGGCTGCACGGATGAGTTTCACTGGGCTTGGAGTCCCCAGTGGATGTGCGGTGAGGGGTGGGCTCCTGGCTTCCCCTCCCCCACCCCCACCCCCCAACTGGGTCAGCTCAGATTGTCCTGAACAATTATCCCCAAAGGGAAAGGGGGGGGAGTCCTGTTGAACAAATCCTTAACTTTTGTCTCCCGGGGCCGCAGCCCTCCCTCTCCCCATCCTGGGCCTGGGAAGCGCTGTGGTTCTGAGTCAGTGATCAGACAGGAAAAGGGCACGCTTCCTAGAGGCAGGAGGACGCACCGCCGCCCTGGGCTTTGATGCTGCTTCCCTTACATCCTGAATGCATGAAAGGCTATGGGAGGGAGAGGAAGAAATATAAAAGCAGAAAGGAAGAAAATGTTATTAAAAAAAAAAAAAAAGGAGCTGGAGAAAGGAGGCGAGAAGTGCCTGGTTGGAGCTGGGGGTATCGGGGACTTATCTCCGGGAGACAAAAGCTGGCTAACAACCTCGCCTTCGCTGACTCCTCTTCCCAGGAAATAATGGCAGAGAGGCGGTGTTTCAGAGGGGACGGATGTGCAAATAGCAGTGTCCGTGAAGCTGGGGTTAATTACAGGAAGGACTTCCAGGGTAATTGCAGATCAACAACACCGGCTTGGCTCGGAAGCCAGTGCGCTTGCGTTTGAATAGGATCCGAGGATCCCCAAAGCGATAGGAGGTGGTGCTGGGTGAGTGGGTGGGGCTCCCCAAGTGGGGGCTCCAGGAGACCCACACACCTAGGCCCTGTCCCCTGGGAGGCTGACCCAGCACCCTCAATCCAAGATGGTCCCCCCTCCGTTTAAACCCTAAACCTCAGTTTCTACCAGAACTAAGATGGTGTTTGCCTTGCAGTTGGGAAACGAGTAACTGTGGCCCAGGGGACGGGCACGTGGACACCTGAGTCACAGACAGGGAAGCACTGGGAAAGGCCCACGAAGAGAAACCTCGGCGAAGAGCGCCCACCCGCAGCGGCTCCGCGTGTAGTGTCTGAGGCCATCTCAGAGGATACAGAACCAGCATCCCTTCCCCGGAAGGAGCTCTGCCCGACTCCCCCAGGCACCATCTGCCGATTCTGCTAGGGCAGCTCCGGGGAGGCTGAGATTCTGAGCCCCGAGCCCTCCTGCCGGCGAGGAGACGCAAGGAAGTGACAGCCGTCACCAACCTCCTGACCCGGGCCTCAGTTTCCCCACTTAGGATCAGTAGGATGATGCCGCGGTGTGATGCCTGGGGGCTTCCCCACCAGGTAACCGCACCTTGAGGCAGGGACTCTTAGTCTCTTTATGCCTCGAAGAACGCCTGTACTGTAGGAAGAATTTAATAAATACTTGGAATGGACTCATCCATGCATGATTGGGCACCTTTATGGTTCTTTTTTCATCTATTTAAAATAAAAGATTTGTGGTTGGGTACAGGGAGGGGCACCTGCTTTTTTTTTCGACACTATAGTGTGGCTTTGAAAGATCAAATAAGAATAAATAATTGCAATAGCTAACATTTATGATGTCCAAATACCTTACATGCTTACTCTCATTATGGCTTGAAACCTCCTTGTGTGGAAACATCTATTGTGTTCCTCACTCCACAGAGGAGAAAAGGAAGATTCTGGAAGGTTCTGGAAGATTAAGGGCTGAGGTCCTGAAGGGGAAGGTTGAGGTCTCAGGCACAGCCCCTCTGACGCAAAGCCCTAGTGTTTAAGCATTTTCCTTGAACGCAGGGAGGATTTTACAGTGACCCTGCTACTAGCCAGCCCAGTGTCCTTGGGCGAGTCGCTCTCTAGTCTGATCCGAGGATACCCCTCCTGAGCCAGTGTGCAGCCCTGTTCCTTCCAGGCTGTGAGCAGCTCAGTGCTCAGACCAAGTGGCACCACCTTAGGGAACGCTCGAATGCGCCACTCACACAGCGCATGGAGCCAGACGCTCGCTACACACTGTACTTCTCACTCCTGTGCACATTTATTATGTGATGATTGACTTCATGGTTCTTTCCCATTGAAGTCAATATCAGGTCTGTCTGTGCATCCCTGGGCCCCACCCCCAGCAGTGTTGCCCAGATTAGTGCCTAGAGTGAACTTCACGCTCAGAAATGATTTCTCGAACCTTTGTAGAGCCCTCCACCCCCCCACCAATGACTGTGCAGTGTGCCGGTCAGAGAGGGTCAGTTTCCACGCCAGGAGCAACTCCATGTCCCTGGCCCTGGACAGCAACAGGCTAAGATCGCTGGGAGCCTTAGAAGAGGATTTTGAGAGTTAACATCCACACACCCCCAAAACTCCTTGGACACTCTTGCTTGTGTACAGGGTGAGCACTGTCTGCAGGCGGTGGGGGGGTGGGGGGTGGGGCGGGGGTGGATTGGCCAGCGGACAGGCCCCGGATATGGAACAGGGTGGGGAGGGGGAGCTGTTCGGCTTGTCCTCTCTCTCGTGCAGGCTCAGATGCAGGTGGGAACCAGAAGTGTTTGGGATCAAAATGCTGCCGGCTTTGGTAATTGAGCAAAGCCCAGGCTGTCTGGACGGGAGGGAGATGCCATTTGGGATGCATATAAGCCCCCAGGAACAGATCGTAGCAACCAGGCGTGCCCTGGGGAGGGGGAGCCTCTCTGGTTGTACACAAGAGCCAATAACACAAACACAATGGGGAGGCCTCCCTCCCAGCTGGTTGTGCACGCCCCATTCAGTTGTCTGGGATGGGGGCCTGTTTTCCAGGGAGCCCCTCTCTTCCCCTCCACCACCGCCTCCTCCTCACTTGGTCCTTAGTCACATACCAGACACGTCTCACAGAGCAGACCCGAAACTCCAGGTGGCAGAATCCCAGTTTCATATAAATTAGGCTGGGTAAGGCTGTTCAGACACATTTTTTTGTCTAAATCATGCAAAAATAGAACTTTCTCAGGGGCATAAATCTGGCCCCAGTGTAAACCTGAATGTGCAATTGACTGGTATAGTTTATAGTGCAAACATGGAATTATCTGGAAGTCTTCTGTTTCCAAAAGAGCATAGCCCATTTTTTATCTGATCTGAAAGAAATGATTTATTTGCCAGCAAAAAAAAAAAGCCGAAGTCAATGCATGGTAAAGGGACCAGATGCAAGCCTGGATTCACCAGACACGTGAGCGTGCCCGGAGCAGACAGAAATGGAGACTGCCCAGTGCCGTGTGAAGGGACCAAGGCCCATTGCTGTATGCCAGGGGCACAGAGTTTTGGGCCTTTATCCTCTTCAGGTAGGTGTCTGCCTATTTTTCAATAAAAAGAAAAAGATAGGATTTTGGATGTTTGCAACATAAAGAAATGTTAAACGCTTGAAGAGATACATCAATGTGAACATGTATGAAAACAACACTTGGCACACCTGGAGATGCACAATTTTATGAGTTCATGACATTTAAAAAAAATGTAAGATAGATGTATGTTCTAGTAGAAGGAAGGACAAAGAAAGAGACGAAGAAAGTTGAAGGCTTTGAAAAGGACAGAGACACAAAAACTAGCTCCACAACAGTCAACAAAGAGCCCAAAGGCCACCAGATGACCCCTCCAAGCACCACGGCACCACGTGTTCTGCGCGATAATGAGAGCATTGCTTCGTGGAGATCAGCGAAGGACAGCTCCTTCAATACTTACTTCTTCCTGGATCTCGAACCCCTGACTTTCAAAGCCATCGAGTGGGTCTGATGACCTTGACGTTTTGAATCTAGGGCAGGGAGAATTGTCTTAGCTCTCATGAATCTGACCCTGCGATCGGGGGTGTGTGTGTGTGGGGACGCCCATTTAGGAATACTCACCAATATCCAATACCTGCTCCCAACGTTCTATGGGGTGGCCTTGGAAAATTTAAAGTGACAGGAAAAAAAATAGCAATATCTTCTCACACAAGTTTTTAAAATTCTCCTGGCAGTTTGCCATTTAACTAGCTTGATTTAATTCACAGTGACTTCCAACAACCTGAGGGCTGCATTTCTCAAAAACAACTATGTCAGCTGTAAAGAGGGAGAAAAAGTATTTCCTTAGGTAGATATAAAAGACAATGACACTTGGTACCTCAACCCTCACGTTTGCCAGAAGGTTTGATTTACCGATAAGCTATTTTTTAATGTAACGTGTTCTTAATTCTTATTCAATGACAGTTGAAAACTGGCATTTAGGTGTAAAAGAAAACACAGGTGAAAACGCATTTGAGACAAAAGTAAATCTGCAAACTGAAAAGGGACCCGGAGTAGGGGATAGGCGTCGGGGCTCTGGAAGCAGTCAGAAAGTTCCCTCTAAATCTTGACCAAGGCTGAAGTTGAGAGACAGTCGTCCTCACTCTAGAAAAACATGGCAGAACAGGAAATCAGCTTGGCTTGGTACGACACTGGCACTGCATCCAACAGGGATGAGACGGGGGTGAGAATCAGAGGTGTGGGTGGACGTCGCCACCACCACACCTTACAGTGTCTCTCCACTGTCTTCTTGCCCCTTCCAGTCGATTCCCAGAAGGGCACCCTGTTTGTAAAGAGCTGCCTGACTCAACCACACCACAGTGCCCTGTCACATCTAGTTGTGCCTGTCTCACCTGCCTCCCCAGCCCTGCAGTCCACAGTGTCGAGCTCTGCTCCAGCCACGGGGAGCTGCACCCTGTCCCTCTCCTGACAACCGCCTACCTATTCATCTGGCTTTGGATTAAATGCCACTTGTCCACGGAACTCCTTCCTGACCTCCGAAAAGAATCAGGCCCCCCTGGACAGCTGACATTGCAAATGGCTGTCCCCAGGCCTCACGCAAGCCATTGCCATGTTTTGGCTTTGATTCCATGGAGTCTGTGACTTTGAAGTGTGTACATTTTTGTGTGTATAATATGTTTAAGTGTGTATAACTCCAGATGACCTGTTCCTTTTGGAAATCTAAAGATGTAAGGCTGGACTCACATCCTGCGAAAGTTTGGTGGAAGAATCAGAGAAAGTGAAGATCTCAGCAGTCCTTCCAAGAACAATGGCCCCAAAGTAGAATCTTTTCAACAGCATTTTTTAAAAAAGAAATACATGGCTCTGATGCTGGAAGTGAGACAGAAAAGACTTCGAGTATCTGAGTATTTGGTCAAGAGGCTATGTCCCCTTGTTGTGACTGAGGCAAAGGGACAGGATTTTATTTATTTATTTATTTTGACAGAGTGGATAGTGAGAGAGACAGAGAGAGAAAGGTCTTCCTTTGCTGTTGGTTCACTCTCCAATGGCCGCTGCTGCTGGCGCGCTGCGGCTGGCGCACTGCACCCAGCGCACTGCGCCGATCCGAAGCCAGGAGCCAGGTGCTTCTCCTGGTCTCCCATGCGGGTGCAGGGCCCAAGCACTTGGGCTATCCTCCACTGCACTCCCGGGCCACAGCAGAGAGCTGGCCTGGAAGAGGGGCAACCGGGACAGAATCCGGCGGCCCGACCGGGACTAGAACCTGGTGTGCCGGCGCCGCTAGGCGGAGGATTAGCTTATTGAACCGTGGCGCCAGCCAGGATTTTTTTTATGACAGCAGTGGCTTTGCCCATTGAGGGAGGCATGAGACCCTCAGTTTACTAAGCCTCAGTTCTTAAAAAAAAAAAAAATTATTGATTGATCAATTTAAAGACAGAATGACACACACAGAGAGAACTTCCATCCACAGCTCATTTCCAAAATGCCCACAGCAGCCAAGGCTGGGCCAGGTCAAAGCTAGGAGCCAGGGACTTCACCTGGGTCTTCCTTGTGGGTGGCAGGGACCCTTAAGGGATCCTTAAGCCATCGTCTGCTGCCTCCTAGGCACCCAAGCAGGAAGCTGGATCACAAGTCGAGTACCTGGGACTCTAACTGGCACTCGGATACGGGATGTTGTTGTCCCCCATGGTGGCTTAACCCGCTGACTCACAATGCCTACCCCGTACCTTAATTCTTGAAGGGCTGCTTCCCACCAAGATATGCATTCCAGAGAGCCAGCTCAGATCCACCTTGATGAATGCTGAATCCTTCATACAACTGTCTACACACAGGTGTTCTCACCAGGCTAACAGAGTGCTCCGGGAATCACTTGTAACTCCAGTGATGCCTGCCAGGACGAAGGATTGACTTTCCCTGTAGTTTTGGGCAGATCATGGAACTCCTTATTTCATAAACAACTACAAGGATGAAATAAACAGTGACCCTTCTCTGTTCCCTGAGCAATACATGAGAATTTTTAGGTGAAAATATCGTGTCAGTTCAAAGCGACAACACACGCTTTGGATATTCCAAAGATTACAGTAACTAGTGGCATTCAGTACAAGCCAGGTGCCACGCCAGCCACCTTAGAAACAGCATCTCACTACTCCTTGCAATCATCCCATGGCGCAGGCGCTGACATCACACTGATTTCACAGATGAGGAAACTGAAATGCAGAGAGGCTGTGTAAGTTGTTCAAAATCATTGACTTTGAAAAGGCACACCCAGATCTGACCCAAGTTTGGCTTAAACTCTCCAGTGATTTTAAAAAAAAATTCGCAAAATGATAATTATAGCATAGGAATAGTTGAAACCATTAGTGTTACCAAGCGCTTCTTATACTATGAGCCAAGCCCTGTGTTAAACACATTGCATGGATAGGCTCTTTTGACAACAATCGTGAGGTGGGAAGCTATTTTATTTTCTACTTTTCTGGACTGAATAGGTATGACAAAATATCACAGGTTTTTATTGTTCAAGAGAAGTGATGACAAACTTAAAACAAGGTTGTTCAGTTGGTATAAATACGCAGATACTTATTGTTTTGATCACCACCTAATTACCGAAGTCTGATTGGGACTCCATAAGTATCTGTAAGCCTCAGTATCTATGGGATAAGCAAATGGACAAAAATTGATGACTCTTAAAGTTCTGGAAACATGATTGACTGGAAAATTTACTTCTTTTTAAGATTGATTGATTGATTGGTTTACTTATTTATTTATTTGGAAGGCTGAATGACAGAGAGAGAAGGAGGACAGAGAGAAAGATCTGCTGGTTCACTCCCCAAATGACCATAGCATCCAGATCTGGGGCAAGCAGAAGCCAGGAGCCAGGAACTCCATCCCGGTCTCCCTACATAGGTGGCAGGAGCCCAAGGTCTTGAGTGACCTGCTACTGCCCTCCCAGGCACATAAGCAGGAAGCTGAATCAAAAGTGGAGTAGCTGGGAATCGAACCAGTGCTTCAATCTGGGATTCAGGCATCGCAAGCGGCAGCTTAACCCCCTGGGCTACCATGCCAACCTCTAAAAATACATGTGTATCATTGTACACCCTATATACCTCAGCCAACTGTTCCACCCTGTGACAGAAACCCTTGGCATCTTCTAGATTACTCACTAGAATAAAATAAGAAGGAGTTAATTACCCAGGATCAACTCCTTAGTAGCACAGTGGCCTTGCTGCACTGGATTTGGGTTTCGATGGAGAAGAAGCACACATCTGTGGCCAGTGCTGTGGCACAGAAGGCTGCAATGCCAGTGTCCCATAATGCAGTTATGCGCTGGGTCCTGGCTGTTCCCCTTGTAATCCAGCTCCCTGTGAATCTACCTGTGAAAGCAGTGGTTGGCCCAAGTACTTGGGGTCCTAGGGTCCCTACAACTCACAGAGGAGATCTGGATGGAACCCCAGGCTCCTGACTTTGGCCTGGCCTAGCCCTAGCCATTGCAGTCATTTGTGGGAGTGAACCAGATGATGGAAGATGTCTCTCTCTGTGTGTCTGTCTTTCATATAAAATAAATCTTCAAAAAAGAAACATCCAGTTCATTCAAACATATTATTACTATCCTCTCCATTTTCAAAACAAACAAACAAACAAACAAAAACCAGAAAACAACAACAAAAAAAAACCATACCGTCATTACCATCATCTGGTTCTCTTACAGACATTACAGTTTCGGAAAGTTGAAGCAATTTACTCAAGATTTCACACCTGCAAAAAAGACAGAACACAGACACATGGGCAGGTTCCACCTGACCTCAGAAATTTCACACCGTTGGCCACAATGCCATGTGTCTGCGGCTTGGCGCTGCCCTCACCCTGCGCTCTAGAAACTGGAAAAGCTAAGCTTGTGCCAGCCACATGAATGAGCATCTGCCCATTTGAGTCTCAGGAACTTAAAAAAAAAAAAAAAAAAAGCTCACAGGTCAGCTGCCTCTCGACTTCCTTTCAAACTTCTGAAACAAGCACCAGGCGTTGTTTCGCCCTATTCCGCATCTGTGCCCGTCCTGAGGCGTGCGGACAATGGCACCTTGTGATAACAGCACTGTGGGCTCCAGCATCTGACACAACTTCTTCATGGCAATCAACAACTTGCAGAAATGCCTGTTTGCAAGAGCCTGGTGCGGAGGCTTTTGGGAAGAAGTGTCAACAAAGGGGACTTTTTCTCAGTAATATAGGAACATGCTGATGAGACAAAGCCGTTGAATTCAGAATGGGTACTATTTCATACCGAATGTGAGCAGAATGTATGTCCTAGAAACCTCTGTGAAAGCTGGTACGCATATCAGAAACGTAAATAAGTACGCAAGCGGGACATACGGGTCCCCCAGAGACCAAAGTATTTTCGAGCAATTTAGAGACACCCTGTCATTAGGTTGGTGTGCTAATTACAAATCATTCTAATTGATTCAATAGTCTCCCAAAAGACTTCCATAATGTACTAGGCAAACACTTTATTAGCCAAGCTGAGTTACTGTAAATTCTTAAAAGACCGAAAAAAAATGCTTTCTTGAAAACAATATCAAGTCAGAATTCTCACTATGCGAGAAGGGCGCTATCCTCGGATCTATTCTCAGTGCTTTGGCTTCCTGCTTTTATTTAATGAATGCTAATGGGACCCAGAAAAGAGAAAATGGACTGGCTTTCTTTCCCTACATCCATCTTGTCTCCCTTTGTAGAAAACATCTGTTGTTCATTCCTTACCAGGATCAATTTCTCCTTTTTGCTGTAGGAGTCCTGGGTCTTTTCCCCACTTTTGGGGGTCACTGCACCTCCACTCTCTGTTCTGGTCGGTTAGATGCTTTGATCCTACTTTCCTGCTTCCACGATGGCCCCGTCAGTGTGTTCCACACCTTCCTCGGACACTGGCTTCAGGGAGCAGCACAGGCCCCCGAGAAGACTTGATGGTGGCACCACCAGGACTGCCGAGCTCTCACCTGGAAGGACTTGTCTGGGCTGTGACATCCATGCCATGTAGGGCTGGAGACAGACATACCCGGGAATGGCACTCGGAGCTCTGGGTTACATTGCACCTGAAGTCATTGTCACACATGTGGCCCATATACTTTCTCATTTTCTCTTTCTGAGCCTGTTTAGGTTATGTTTTTAGTCATTTGAAAGAATTTACATGAATTTTGTTCAGTTAAGGTATCCCTTAAATTAAAAATATGTCTCCCCAGGGGTATAATTTTTTCTCCTTGTACAAAACTAACTTCCTTCTTGGAGATTATTCACATGTAAGAAGCCAGTAGTTCATTTCTACCAGATCCACTGTGTGTGTATCGGACTTTCGAGCCAAATATCTATTAAGGAAAATATTTCCATTTCTCTATTTTTAATCATCTTCATGTTCATTGTGAGTCTCCATCCACTCCTCCTTAAGTGTCGGGAACTGCTTTTTAGTACAGAAGCAAACCCTTGATCCTTGTTTCATAAGCTCCTTAATGAGCAGGAGACTTGGGGCAGTAAAGCCAGGAAGATTTGTCCCAAACCATCTCAAAGCAAAAGAGAAGCAGAACCTGTTCCTAAGGAGGAGAGGAGACTCATTCAACATTGCATACATACAAAGTATGATTTAAAAAATGCAATTCATGTTACAGCTACTTCAGGAAATGAATTTCAGCCCAGTCATGAGTAGTTGGAACATATCGACTTCGGATTCTGCGGAAATAGATGGTGTTAACATCCTCAAGTGAAGGACAAGACGGGTGAGTCTTATTCTAGATGGGTTAGGGTCACAGTGATCTTTTCCTGCTACTAGGTCTCCGCTTTGCCATCTGCAAGGACCATGTGAGCTGATCGAATTCCCCGGAAGCATTGCAAAGATGCCAGACTCCTGTCTACTCTTGGACACGCAGTAGTTACATGCAAGGTAATTTAAACGAATTTTTTTGATGTTTTCACTTTATTAGAGAGAGAGAAAGACCGAGAGAGAGAGAGAGAGAGAGAGAGAGAGAGAGAGAATGTCTTCACCAGAGTCAGGAATTCAATTAGGTCTCCAGTGAGGGTAGAGGGACCCAAGTATTTGAGCCATGACCAGATAGATGCCTCCCAGGGTCTTCATTAATAGGAATCTGGAATCAAAACTAGCAGAGCTGGAATTCTAACGAGGCACTCTGGTAACAGAATGCAAGTATCCCAAGGAGTGTATCAAGTCAGTTATTTAAAAATGTAGTCCAATACCCAAGTCAAAGCAGGTTTTTTGAGTGGTGCCTCATGAACCTTATTTTTGCAAAGCTTTCCAGATGATTCTGAAAGCCAAGGGTGAGAACCACTGCTTTAGTGGTTTGAGAAATGGTCTAGGATCCCCCGTGAAGTTGTATGTAATAATAATAATAGTAATAGTAATAATAATAATGAGCGTTTCCGCACCGTACACTGCGGCGTCCGTCCGGCTCAGAGCCCGTGCTGGGAGACAGAGATGATCCTCCCGAGCAGCCTCAGTTTCTGCTTCCTGGCGTGGCCTCCGTCGTTCTGAGAAGCTCCGTCCTCTTGGAATAGAGACGCTCCAGGCTGCCCCAGGAGCGCCACCACGGACACCCACCGTGGCTGGTCAGGCTGACCTCCGGCAAGGCGAATCGGACCGCCTGATCTTCTTGAGAGCCTCTGGTTTCCACCACCGCAGAGGAGCAAGAGGGCTGTTTTCTTGTTGCTGTTGTTTTTCAAATAAGGAGGCATTTTCCAGTTGTCTTAGACCTCAGCAGGAGCTACTGAAGTTTAACGCCTGTCCAAAGCGCTGACGCTTCTCCTACTGGGCAGGGAGGGACCAGGGTTCCTACGAATGAGAAGCTCAGACGGCAGCTACAGCACGCTCAACAGAAGACCATCTGTAGGATCGCAAGGCTCTGGTTCAGTGGCTCGCAGTGTGTGGATTTCATAGAGGTCCTTTGGAAAGTTTGACCTCGTGGTGAAGGGACTGTGTCCCATATCAGAGTGCAAGGGGTTGATACCCATCTGGGTCTCCTTGCTCCGCCTTCCAGCTAATACAGACCTGGGGAGGCAGTGGTGACAGCTCAAGGAAAGATTGGGTTCCCACTACACACATGGAAATTGGATTGGGTTCCTCACTCCCAGCCCAGCCTCTGCTGTTGTGGGTATTTGGGGAGTAGGCCAGCGGATGGGAGATCTCTCATTGTCTCTACGTGTGAGTCTTTCTCTCTTACTCTTTCTACCTCTCAAATAAATTGATGCTTTTTTAAAGGAGTTGGAAGAGCTAACACAAGTGTGTGGTAGGTAGAGCAGGCTTGGGAAGGGCAGTGTTTTCTGCTTCCTCTGTGTCCAGAGCTCTTCTGGAGTCACCAGCATGTTCCATCCCACTTGGATTTTGTCCACAGGTTGCCAATTACAGGCCCCAACCAACCCATATGGTTTTTCAACTGAACACAGCCAGAATTCTCAAAAATTCTCACCATAATCTCCAACACTTGGGAGTCTTGGGATTTCGCATTATAATCCCTACCCGGAACTTTTGAAAACATCTGGAGTTGGCCGTGGTGGGCTGTGTTTCTGTGCAGTGGCGCTGGTGGCATCGAGTGGCTATTGCTCCCTGAGATGAGCCTCTGGTTCTCCACTTCCATCCGCTTCTAGCGCTTTAATAACCAGCTGGTCCTGTGCAGGCATTTGCATATCAGAGCCTCCTGCATTTGTTTCTGTCTTCTCTTTTAAATATCTATATCTATATCTATATCTATATCTATATCTATATCTATGACAGGCAGAGTGGACAGTGAGAGAGAGAGAGACAGAGAGAAAGGTCGTCCTTTTCCGTTGGTTCACCCCCCAGTGGCTGCTGTGGCCGGCGCGCTGCGGCCCTTGCACCACGCTGATCTGAAGCCAGGAGCCAGGTGCTTATCCTGGTCTCCCATGGGGTTCAGGGCCCAAGCACTTGGGCCATCCTCCACTGCCTTCCTGGGCCACAACAGAGAGCTGGACTGGAAGAGGAGCAACCAGGACAGAATCCGGCGCCCTGACGGGGACTAGAACCCGGTGTGCCGGTGCCGCAGGCGGAGGATTAGCCTAGTGAGCCGCGGCGCTGGCCTAAATATATTTTTAAATGTTTATTTTCAATTTACTTTTATCTGCTTGAAAGAGCAACAGAGACGAAGAATGAAAGGAGCCAGGAGGAGGAGAGAGGAGACAAAGATGAGAGAGGGAGACCTCCCATCCATTAACGAACCCTCCAAATGCCTGCAACAGCCGGGACTGGGCGAAGTCCAAGTCGAGAGCCCAGAACTCCACCTGGGTCTTCCTCTGGGTGGCAGGAACCCGAGCAGTTGAACCATCACTGCTGCCTCCCAGGATGCATTAGTTTTCCATGGGTCCATCTCAACAGCCCAGCAAGGAGGGCACAATCAACAAGATGGCTCGCGTTCTGCAGCTGGGGGCACTGAGACCAAGAAGGGTACAGGATTTGCTGTGGTTGAAAATGCAGCTTTTCCATCCCACAGTGACTTCCATGAGTCCGATCTCTTGCCTCTTTTTCTTTTCTTTCTTTTTTCATTTATTTGACAGATAGAGTTACAGACAGTGAGAGAGAGAGAGAGAGAGAGAGAGAGAGAAAGGTCTTCTGTTGGTTCAAACTCCAAAT